CCTGCCCCCCGGCCGCCTGCCAGCGCTCAGGCGGGAGCTCGGAGCGGGGCGCGGCGCCGCCCTGGAGTGAGGGGCGCCGGGCCGAAGGGGGTCCCTGGAGCCCGGCACGATGGACTCGGTCCTGGACCCTTTCCCGGCCGACCGACTGTTCCCGGGATCCAGTTTCCTGGACTTGGGCGATCTTAACGAGTCGGATTTCCTCAACAATGCGGTAAGATCGGGGCTTCTGCGCCCACCTCCCGCCACCCCGTACCCCTCTTTGCGGCGCGCCTAGGCCCCCAGGGAGGACCGGAGTGCACATCACCGGGCAGAAGACAGGGAGGGTCCCTGGAGGACCCAGGGGTGCAGAGTGCCCTGGAGGGAGGGACACGTGCTCCGGGCGCTGAGATCTGACAACTAGTTCCGCGGGCGCTGGCCGAGACCCCGCACGGAGGCCACAGCCTCTGGACTGGCCGCAGCGCACCGCGCCCGAGGGCTCCGTCCAGGGATTCTTCAGTCTTAGCCTTCGAACTAGCGTACAGGGATGTCGAGGCGTCGGGGTCCTCTGTTCCTGGGATACGAGCTCGAGACCCCCAGTGTCCCCACCCCCTGGTCTCGCCGTGCCCCCACCCGCCAGAGGCCTCGGGGACCAGCTTGGGCGCACAGTGGCCGTGCCCTTTCCTGCACCCTCCGGGACCGCGGGGCTCGGGGTCTAGCTCTCCACTTGAGGGCGCACAGTGGAGCCTCTCGAGCACTGGGACCTGGCGCCCCAGGGGGCCCGAGCGAGCCAGACCCGGAAACTTCGGGGTGCTGCCGCCGCGTGCGCGCGCGCAGGCTGCTGCAGAGTCGGCCCCGAATGGTAACCCCCACCCCCACCCCGGGCAGCTCAGGGCAGCACAGACTGGCATTCAGGGGACCAAACCCTCTCTCTTGTGCCTCTCGGTCCCTGCTCTGTGTCTCTGCCCCTCAGGTCTCTCTGAGGATCTGTCTTGCGGCTCATTCCCTCCCTCCCTCCTTAAGGAAACGTGGCTTCTTTCTTCTCTCCCCCACCACTCCCTCCTTTCCTCCCTCCCTCCTCAGCCTCAGCCCTAAGGCCCTTGGGGGAGGGGGCGTGCGTGGGCTCTTTAAAAGAGGAACTATTTGGGTTCAGGAAGGCCTACCCCAGGACAAGAAGGCTACTTGGAGACTTTGGTGGGAGCCCACTATTCTGGGAGCCATCAGTCCCCCTCACCCCCAGTGTTCATTCCAGGGGATCTCTCCCTGCTGACCTCTTGTCTCCTGAGAATAAAGGAAACTTGCCCGGACCAGCACCCCAAGAGTTTGGGGGCTCAGAATGGCCCCAGGCCCCTAGACTGATGATGGGGAAATGGAGGCTGGAGACCCAACCTGAGTCAGGAAGGCATGGGGTGTGAGATCTCCATTAGGCCTGTTGCTCTGGTCACCCTGCTCCCAGGAGGAAGGCCCCTCCCCACAAGTCAAAGAGGAAGGAGAGAATTGGCATGAACAATGGGGGGGTGGCAGGACTGACCCCACTCCCCAGCATGGGCCGGGCCCCTCACTCTCTTCCCTGGGCCTCACCTGCTTTGTCTGTAAAATGGGAGAAAGTCTTTCTAAGAACACTTCTGGCCTGGAGCCAAGGAGTGAAGCAGCAGGGACTCAGGACCGGACACTCCTGGGATTGGTGGGAAGTACTGGTCCGAGGGAGGGGGTTTGTGGCAGACAAGGAGGGTCACAGAGCTGGGGTAAGCCCCCTGCGACACCACCCCCACCCCCACCCCACCCCAGCCCACAGCAGCTCTGAGTGGGACTTTGTTCTGAATGAACTCTGCAGCCTGCAGCCTCTTCCTTCGGCTCCTTTCAGCTCTGCAAGGCCAGCTGCTCATCTGGGCCCCCATCCAGCGCAGGAAATCAAATGGTGGTGGCCTGCACCAGGGCTCTGGCGTGGGGAAGCCCTGGCGGGGAACCTCCTGTGCCTATGAGGCCAGGCCAGATAGAGGGAGAGGGGGGACATCGGAGGGGAGCTAGCAAGAAACCCTGCCCTGAGAATCTGGCGAGGGGCCCAGCCAGGTCAACGCAGACAAGTGACAGTTCTTCCTGGGGCCCGTTGCCTCATCCTCAATATGGGCTTCTTAGAAGCTTCCCCTAGCGTTGTTAGAGCGGCGGTTCTCAGCCTGGGGGTCACGACCCCTTTGGGGGCACCCAATTCATAACAGGAGCAAAATGACAGTTATGAAGTAGCAACGAAAATAACTTTATGGTTGGGGGGGGTGTCACCACAACATGAGGAACTGTATTAAAGGGTCGTGGCATTAGGAAGGTTGAGAACCACTGGGTTAGAGACTTGGCAAGAAAAATGAATGTAAAGAACAAATCATGATGCCTGACAGAAAAATTCACTAAAAAACTCACTGCCGTCGAGTTAATGCCAACTCATAGCAACCCTGTAAGGGCAGGGTAGAACTGCCCCCGTGAGTTTCCAAGACTGAACTATTAAGAGGAATAGAAAGCCCTTTCTTTCTCTCAAGGAGCTGCCGGTGGTTTTGAACTGCAGACCTTGAAGGTCACAGCCCAATGCATAACCACTACTCCCCGGGGCTCCTGAAGTGTAAGAGTCCATAATTATTAACTTGTCCCAGAGGCTGGATGAGGGGGTAGTCGTAAGAAGCAGCCCTGGTGGAACAGTGGTTAAATGGTCAGCTGCTACCCTGAAAGTTGGTGGTTCGAACCCATCAGCTGTTCCTCCAGAAACAGCCGGCTCCCATAAACATTTGCAGCCTTGGAAACTTGACCAGGGGGAGGGGCGGGGGAGGGCACTTCCCCTCTGCCCTGTTGGATCACTGTGAGTTGGAATCCACTCCAGCAATGAGTTTGGTTTGGTGGTGAGAATCGCTCAGTTAGGCGGTACTGTGTGACCTCAAGCAAGTCACTCTCTTTCCCTTTTACAGGCAGGGAAACCCGGGCTATTTTGCATCCTAGAAAAAGTGTTCCTCTCGGTGTGTGTCTGAGGTCCCTTTCTACTGGGATCCCAGGCCCACGCCACCCTCAGCTTCCTCTTGGTGCAACTGTCTGAGAGAAACTGTCCAGGGTTAGGGAGGTGACAGGGGTGCATCTTCTCCTTCAGGAAGATGGCAAGCAGGAAGGGATCACTAGCTTCTCTAAGATCCCGATAAAGGCCGGAGTCAGGTGGGGAACCAGCATGCTCTGCTTCTCAGTGTCTAGCGAATAAATAAAGTGTGGGCTCACTTTATATACAAAACCAAACCAAAGCAAACGCACTGCCATCTAGACACTGCAGACTCATAGCGACCCCCGGTGGGTTTCTGTGACTGTAACTGTTTACAACTTTGCTGGAAAGATGTTCTTGGGGCGCGGGGGAGGGGCAAAAAAGTGACTGCACAGCCCCATCAGGTACATTTGAGGATCTTGCTCTCTGAAGACCCCTTCTGTGGTTGTAATTTGGTTTGTGGGTGTACCCTTCCTGACAACTGTGGGGGCTTCTTTACTCTCCTCGCTGTCTCAAAGGCCCTGAGCAGACTGTCCTCAAAAACCCACTGCTGGGAGCTGATACCAAAGAGAGTAGATGCTTTGCAAATGGCAACAGTTGTACATTCATGCTTGCTCTAGTTGAACTATGGATTGTTAGACTACTGTAGAGCTCCCAATAAAATGGGGGCAGTGAGGGGGAGGATACAGAAGACAAAAATGTACTGGAGGGGAAAAAAATGCTATCCTGTCAATGCCAACTCATAGCAACCCTATAGGACAGAGTAGAACTGCCCCTGTGGGTTTCCGAGATTAACTCCTTCCAGGGGAGCCCGGTGGTGTAGCGGTTACAAGTTCCCAAGTTCGAAACCACCAGCCATGCCATAAAGATGGGGCTTTCTACTCCTGTAAACAGTGACCATCTCAGAAACTCACAGTGGCAGTGTCTACCCTGCCCTGTAGGGTCTTCATGAGCCCGCATCAACTCGATGGCAGTGAGAATCCTTTCTGGACCTAGAAAGCCTGTCTCCTGAGGTGCGTGCAGCTGGTGGTTTTGAACTGCTAACCATTGGGTATCAAGCCCAACAGGTAGCCTTCTACAACACCGCGGCTCCTTTAAGGTTGTCCTGGGGAGAAGGGGACAGAAAGAGCTGTCAAACATTCAGTCGTAACACTGGTGACCCCAGGTGTGTCAGAGTAGAGCTGGACTCCAGGGGCTGACTTTGTCTGGAAGTGGACCTCCAGGTCTTTCTTCTGAGGCACCTCCAACCTCCTGGAGAACCACTCAGCGCATGGACCGTCTGCCCCACCAAGGGCTGCCCAGGAGCCCTCTGCTGTTCTACCTGTGGTCCGCCAGCCCTGGGGCAGCTGTGAGAGAGGACTTGTTGCTCAGAGAACTGGAATGGAGGACCAGAGGGAGAACGGGTCATGTTGCTGGGTGAGACATGCGGTCTGGCTGCCTCTTGCCTCCTTCCTCTGGCCCAGGGGGAGGGAAATGGCTCTGGAGCCTGGAGAAGCCCCAGCTGGGAGGGCGTTGCTGGGGGCGGTGGAGGAAGACCAGTTCACTGTGTTGTCTCAGAGGGAGCAGCCGGAAGCTGCCAGGATGTTTACCTAGCTCACTCCTCAACCTCCCAACAGCTGGGAGGCCAGGTGTGGCATGACAGGGACCCAGGGACTGCCCAGGGGAGGGAGGTGTGAGAGCTAAACCCCCTCCACAGGCCCCTCCTCCCCTGAACTAATTAGAGAAGCAGACTCCCCCTCCCCCCCCAACCCCGGGCTTTGGGGAATTTCAGGAGATTAGAGAAGTATGTGTGTTTGGATGGTCCTGAGTCTGTGTGTGGCCCTTTAACAGCCCTGACAAGGGGAGATGCATCTACATATGTGTTTCTCTTTAAATCCTTACCCACAGAGAAGAGGGCAGAGGGGGCAGGGACCTGAGGTCTCAGAGTAGTATCTACACTGAGTCACTAACCAAACTCACTGCCATCCAGTCGATGCCAACCCATTGAGACCCTGGCCCTGCCAGTTTCTGAGACTATCACTCTAGATGGGAGGAGAAAGCCCCTTCTTTCTCCGGCTGTGTGACCGGTGGTTTTCCGAACTGGTGCCCTGGCAGTTAGCAGCTCGACGCTGTCTACTCTGCCCCCAAAGCTCCAAGGAACTAACAGAGGACACTGGCCGTCAGGTGCCCTGGAGTTGCGTGCACCCCCCCACCCCAGAGTATCATTCCCCCACCCAGAGTATCATTCC